ATTTGAAAAAATAATGTGATTATTAACTTCTATTACATTTTTATTTAAATGCCTACTGTCTCAAGGGTTAAAAAAAACTTTGCAATTTTGTAGTTTCCTGTAGATTAATGGTTAGATGAGCAAACGTTTTAACTCACACCACCCCCTACTGGTAGCTCAAGAGAAAAACTTTCTAATGTAACATTATGGGAGATTGTATTAGTTAAGTGTGGTCCCTCACCATCTGCATACAAATTCTCTGGAAAGTTTGTTAAAAATACAACTTCCCTACTCTGCACAATATCTACAGATATTTTGAATTTAGTTAGCCTTGGTTAAGACCTTAAACTTTACATTTTTAACAAGTTCCCCAACAAACAAGTTGAGAATCACTGGTTTAGTTATTAATAGTAATAACAACAGCTTACTTTCAAAGCACGATAACCCTGTGAAATGATGGGAAGGTATTATTATGCCTGCTTTATAAATGATGACTGAGGCTCAAAACGGCTTTAATAATTTACCTCAGGTCACATGCAAAAGGTAGCAGAACCACCAACGTTTTCTTGTTCCTAGGGTTACGTATCCTTAAGAGGAAAGAATAATAAAATTTTTCACCCTTGAAATTCAAGTAATCATTTCTTTTAGATACAGCTTGTGTAAGCAATACATGCTGTAACTTCTCAACCCTCGCTTAGAGAGTCTGTAGAAATTGCCTATGCCCAAGCCCAACTTTTTTTTTTTTTAACTCCCAGCTGATTATAATATAAACCCCACCAGTGCTAAGAACCACTTAGGTCAGTGATGTTCAGCCTTTAATATGCCAGAATCACCTAGAAGACAAAGACTACTGGGCCTCGTGCCCAGAGTTTCTAACTGAATAAATGTGAGAGGGCCTGAGACGCTTTACTTTTAACAGGTTCCAGGCGGCGATGATGCTGGTCTTGGGACTACACTCTAAGAACCACTACATAAGCATATTGGCTAGTGGTTCTCAACCTTGTCTACACATTAGAATCGCCTACAGAAAATTTTAAACTCTTGATAGCCAGGCACACCCCGGACCAATTACGTCACAATCTTTGGGATGGAGCTGCAGGCATCGATATTTTTTAAAGCTCCTAAAATTAAAAAAGTTTCTCTACAGCAGAGAGCCACTAAGATGCTAATAGATATACAGTGATTTCCCAAGAAGATGGTATATAGTATGCAAATATTTCCAAAGCTCTGTGAACCAGAAACACCTCTGTCAAGTCATAATTAAAGGCTCTGAATGTGTGAAATACTAGCCATAAGATAAAGTGGAAACCGGTGCATGCCCTGAGACACTCTTCTCCAACCTCTATCCAGCCTCATCTTTTGCCAGACCCTTCCTCCCTCCATTGCATATATACCCCATTAAAACACCAGTAGTTTTTTGATCGCAATGATCTGTTTTAACGCGACTACATTATTTCTACAAGTTGTTTGGAATCAGAGGTTACATCTTATTTATCTTTGGTTCCCCAGTGCCTAGCACAATACAAGCGTAACTGGTGCTCAATTAACATTTATTGAGTGAATACAGATTTCACATCCTGACTTTCTGTAGAGAAGGTATTGTAAAGCATGACTTTTATGAAACCTAGAGTGAGCAACAGTTTACTTTATATAGCTAAAACCAGAACTGAATATTTCACCCTCATAGAGCTACTCTTATTTAATATTGCTTTAAATTATAAAGGGACTATTTGCACTTAGAGGTAGCATTTAACTTGCCTTAAGATCTGCCATATTTTTAATTCATTAATAATTTAAGGATGGCAAAAGCCTTTGATAATTTTTTATTTAACAGTCATTTAGGCCAACTGTGATCTAAAAAGAGGTAAAAAATGCCTTTTATATTAACAATGAGATGAAGTTTCCAAAAGCTATTAAGGAAAAAAGGAAAAAAAAAAAAACCCTGTTTTGAAAAATCCAAGTTTCTCAAACTTGAACATAGCAAGATCAATTCAGTTTTGTTTTTGTTTTTTTAATTTGTAAAGAATAGTATTTTTCTATTAGCAAATTGTATATCTAATTCA